GCCTCCTGGGTTCAGACAATTCTCCTGCCTCAGCCTCCTGAGTAGCTGGGATTACAGGCACGCGCCACCATGGCCAAGCTAATCTTTTGTATTTTTAGTAGAGATGGGGTTTCACCATGTTGACCAGGATGGTCTTGATCTCTTGACCTCGTGATCCACCCACCTCAGCCTCCCAAAGTGCTAGGATTACAGACTTGAGACACCATGCCCGGCCCAGTCGCCTTCTTTTGGATGGTCCAGGCGGAGGACACCAGGGGCGTTGGGGGCGCTGGGTCCTGCCTCCTGTGCCCCAATCCCACTGGCCAGCTTCCTGGGAAGCTGGGAAATTAAATGTGTGGGTGTGAAGGGCTCTCCTGGCAGGTCATGGGGGCTGTGCACTTTCCCTTCTCGTCCTTCCTGCCCTTGCCCTCTTCTACCCCATAGACACAGCATAACCATTTAATGGTTATTTTTTGATGATATGCTAAGCAAGGGGTGGAATATTCATGCCTCCCCTTTTTAAACCACCTAGGGTAACTTCCTGACATGGCCATGGCACTCATAACTGTCCTGGCGCTGGTGGGAGTGTAGCGGTGAGCATGACCAGAGGTCACGCTTGTGACCATCTTGGTTTTGGTGGGTTTTGGCCAGCTCCTTTATGGCACCCTGTTTTATCAGCAAGGTTTTTATGACCTGTATCTTGTGCTGACCTCCCATCTTATCCTGTGACTTAGAATGTCTTCACCACCTGGGAACACAGCAGCCCGGCAGGTCTCAGCTTCCTTTTACACAGCTTCTGTTCAAGATGGAGCTGTTCCAGTTCACATGCCTTGGACGCTTCTGCTGCTGTTGGTTCCTTGGGCCATTCTCCGGCCACATCCGCCTCCCACAGCTCTGGTCTCAATGACCATGGATGGCTATTGCTGACTCATGGATGGCATGCCTCAGAATATGCCATTTCATGTCTGGCCTTGTTAGACATGTGTCTTTTTTTTTTGTGATGGAGTCTCGCTCTGTGCCCAGGCTGGAGTGCAATGGCAGGATCTTGGCTCACTGCAACCTCCGCTGCCTGGGTTCAAGTGATTCTCCTGCCTCAGCCTTCTGAGTAGCTGAGATCACAGGCACACGTCACCATGCCCAGCTAATTTTTATATTTTTGGTGGAGATGGGGTTTCACCATGGTGGTCTTGAACTTCTGACCTTGTGATCTGCCCACCTCGGCCTCCCAAACTGTTGGGATTACAGGTATGAGCCACCGTGCCTGGTGGGCAGATGTCTTTTGAATTTGTTCTCCAGTCTGTGCTTTACCTCTTCATTTTCTTAACAAAGCGGAACATTTTAATGTTGATGAAGTCCAGGACTTCATCAGTTTTAACGTGTTTGGTTAGCTTTCGGGGACGGTTTGAGAAACGTTCTCCTGACCCGCAGTCGTGAAAGTGCTCTCTGTGTTTTCTCCTAGAGGAGCGAAGATTAGTTTTTGGGCGTGTTGTCAGGCAGCAGTTATAGTTTGCCCTCTCCACACGGACGTACAGTTGTTCTCGCACCGTCCCCACTGAGGTGCTTCGGAGCTTTAGTCTAAATCAGTTGGCTGGACGGACACGGGTTTTGGGAGCCCAGGGGGTGGAGAAAGTGGCAGGAAGAGCTGGTGGAAGGGATTCTCCTGCCTCAGCCTCCTGAGTAGCTGGGATTACAGGCATGTGCCACCACGCACTGCTAACTTTTATATTTTTAGTAGAGATGAGGTTTCACCGTGTTGGCCAGGCTGGTCTTGAACGCCTGGCCTCATGTGATCCACCTGCCTCATCCTCCCACAGTGCTGGGATTACAGGCGTGAGCCACTGAACCAGCCTCGGATGCCAGTTCCTTTGACTTGATGTCCTCTTTCTGTTTTACAGAATTAAAACAAGGAATTTCTCAAGACTTGGCTTCTTCCCCCAAATTAGACAGATACAAAGTAGCAAGGTAGTTAACAGAAAAAGCAATCAAGGTAAATGCTCCTTGGGACTCGGTGGGGAGGGGGACACTTTTTGAAAAGAACGTTTGTTTTGGAACTTGGAGTCTGTTCGTCTGGCATCTGAGAGCCACAGCCTCCTCCCTGTGGGACTTGGCTGGAGTTACATTTATTTATTTATTTATTTATTTATTTGTTGTTTGTTTATTTATTTTTGAGACAGAGTCTGGCTCTGTTGCCCAGGCTGGAGTGCAGTGGCACAATCTCAGCTCATCACAACCTCCGCCTCCTGGGTTCAAGCAATTCTCGTGCCTCAGCCTTTTGAGTAGCTGGGACTACAGGTGCACACCACCACACCTAGCTAATTTTTTTTTTTTTTAGTAGAATTGGAGGTTTCACTATGTTGGCCAGGCTGGTCTTGAATTCCTGTCCTCAGGTAATCCCAGCACTTTGGAAGGCTGAGGCCGGCAGATCACGAGGTTAGAAGTTCGAGACCAGTCTGGCCAATATAGTGAAAACCCATCTCTACTAAAAATAAAAAAAATTAGCTGGGTGCGGTGGTGTGCACCTGTAATTTTACCCAGCTACTTGGTAGGCTGAGGCAGGAGAATTGCATGAACCAGGGAGGCAGAGGTTACAATTAGCTGAGATCATGCCATTGCACTCCAGCCCTGGAGACAGTGTGAGATTCTGTCTTAGAAAAAAAAAAATTAGCCAGGCGTGGTGGCAGGCACCTGTAATCCCAGCTACTCAGATGCTCGGGAGGCTGAGGCAGGGAGAATCGCTTGAACCTGGAAGGTAGAGGTTGCAGTGAGCCAAGATCACACCACTGCACTCTAGCCTGGGCGACAAAGCTAGATTCCGTCTCAAAAAAAAAAATTACATATTGGGTGACAGGTGCCCCAAAATCTTAAAAATCACCACTAAAGAGCTTATCCATGTAACCAAAATCCACCTGTTCTCCAAAGACAATTGAAATAAAAATATCCTCTTGCCATCTTAGGAGAAGAAGACTTTATCTATGGACACTACCCGGTGGTGCATGCGGCTCTGTGGAGGAAGGGCTGGGTGGAGAAGAAGTTCCATTTCTTGCCCAGGGTCATTGCCACTGTCGACGATAGAGGCACCAGGGTTGCTGGCAGGGTATTGGAGGCGCGAGTCTCAGTGCAGGGCGTGACTGTCTGCCACAGGCACGGGGCGGGGGAGGGTCTGTGCCAACCTGAGCATGCTGCCTGCCCTCGTGTCCCTGTGTGCATGATGGAATCTCTCTGACTCCAGGTCTCCATCATCCTCCTGGCCTCCCTGCCCCAGGTGGTCATGCAGGGCAAACCCTTTCAAGCCCCTGGCACTGCTCCCTTCTCAGTGTCCCTGTGGCCCCCACACAGGCTGGGCCTCCTCCTGCCAGGGTGGTTTCCATAGTCCTGCTCTGCCCCGCCCAGCCATCCATCCTCTGGCCCCAGCTCCCCGAAGTCCACTTCTCAGGCCCCCACGGTACCACTGCTCCTCACTGATCATCTGCACAACTGTGTCCGTATCCTCTTGGCACCAGTGAGACCCAGATGAAATGTCCCCCTCCTCCCCACCCCTGCCCGGGACCCCATGGCCTCCATCACACCCACCCCCACCCCAGGCTGTCTCCACCTTTCTGCACCTCAGGACATCTGGGCCTCCAGGAATCCTGGGACCCCATGCCCTGTCACAGCCCTGGTGGGATGGCTGTCCTGTGGATGCTTACTGGATGTGTGGGGGCAGCTGGGATGTCCTGAGGCTGACCCAACACCCACAGTGGCACCTGCTCCGCCAGGGCAAGTTGCTGTCCTGCCTGCGGCGGTGATAATGGAGTGCTGGGGGAGGTCTGGCAGAGGCTCTGTGTTCAGGCCTCCCGCTGTGTCTCGTTGGCAGATAATAAACCTGCTGAAGTGAAAGAAAATAAATAAACTGCTTTCGAGAGAATAGAGGACATCCACGATGTGATGGTATATCCTCTTCGTGCGTCCTAATCAGCCTCTGCCTCTCCATGGCTTCTCACACCATCACCCTGCTCTGTGCCTACTTGCCCATGTTGTGGAGGATGGCAGCCCGGTGGGGGCAAAACCCCAGTCACAGCAGGGCCCCTTGACCTGGGGTGGGGCGAGCCCTTCAGTGCTGGATGACCCACTGTGCAGGGGGCAGACCTGGTGTGCCCAGCTCCCTCTACCCATACTGGGCTGGCCTGCCACGTGCTCGTGGAAGCTGAGGGCCTTCCCGGCGTGTGTGTTGCAGGCCAGGCCTGGCCAGCGAGTGAGCTGGGGTCTCCAGCAACACAGCAGTGTGCTCTCCCACCTCCCCAGCCCAATCTGGTTCCTCGGGGACACCTCACGCTCCCCGATAAAGAGGGTGAAAGAGAAACCAGAGTGGGAGGCGGCATTTGTAGTACTTACAATTTAAAAGATCAAATATCCAGGATATGTAAAGAACTCACAAATCAATAATGATAGGCAAGCAGAAAAATGGGCACAGACTTGATTGGGAGCCTCCCCCGAGGCCAGCGAGCTCACTCTTCCAAGTTCCTGGAGTCAGTGCCATTCCCACAGACCCCGTGAGTGCTCCAGTGGCTCTGCAGGTCCCGGGAAAGAACATTCCTCACTGCTCTGGAGGCTGGAGGCCGGGTCAGGGGCAGCATGGCTGGGCTGGTGAGGGTGCCCTGCTTCACAGACAGCTGACATCTTTCTGCGTCCTCACATGGGCAAGGGTTTTTCTGGGGCCACTTTATAAGGGCCTCATGCTCATGACCTAATCCTGGAGCCCTGCCTCCTATGCCATCGCCTGGGGGTGAGGACCACAACACATGCATTTCGGGGGGACAGAAACATTCTGCTCACTGGGTGTGGAGGAGAGAAATGCAGGTGGCAGTTACCTGATGGGTGTGACTGGGGCGACTTTGGTTCTGTTGACGATGCTGTTTCTCACCCCAGGATGCAGTGGTTAGTGATTAG